TCTTAGCCGCTTTGCAATTGCACTATTTGATAGCTATGCATAAAAAACAATGAAAAACATGAAATATCGAAAAAAGGTCGTTTTAGGTTATTTTGTGTTTTTCTCAGAACCAACTTTTTTAGAGAAAAATTAAAGTTTTCCCCCTTTTTCTCCTAGACGCTTCGATCGATTGAGTTGAGATTTTTTGTGTGGTAACTAGAACCAAATTGGGATGTATAGTTTTTTTCTTTTCTTGAAATAATGATCTGGTGATTTTTAGTAGATCTTACAAAATTTGTTCTAGGAAGAAAAAACCATTGGTAGCTAGGAAAAAACTATTTATATTTTTAGAAATAGTAGCGATGATCCGCCACACAGAACAGAAAAAAACAATTTTTTCACAATAATAGTGCAATAACCTTTACATTTTCTTCATTGCGATAATATTTCACACTAGTTTTCATAAGAATGCAATTTGTACTTCCCAAGAAAATAATGTCATTTTTTAAATGACTACCCTCTTCTCTAAGTGAATGAAACAATGATGTTCTAATATTGAACTCCATTATCAAATCAAGCAAAGTCATCAATGACTTTATAATATTGAGCTTGAACAGACATCGTAAGTTCTCAAAAAAAATGAATAAAAATAATGGATGTTTGAGATTCAATACATCTCTCGGTTGACGATACTATTATAAAACACAATCGAATCACAAAATCGATCAATGCATTAGGTCAGATTATTTAGTTAATAAATATTCTTTCGCAATTTTCAAGTCGCAAATCTTCCACGTAGAAATCTGTGCAATGAAATGAAACATCACCTAGTAACAAGCTTCAAGCCACCATGCTGAAATTTGAGATAAAAAGAACCAAATTATAGGACATAGAGATACTGATTGAATCTGAAAGGCTTCTTGTTTTTAGAATTGACGATAGACAGTAACAAACTAAGTATCAGTCTAAAGTCTGACAAATTCAAATTTAATTTCCATGCAGAACGACATCCGATAACTTTGTCTCCATAAGAGAGGACTAGAAATTGTAGCAAAATAAAAATAGATTCGATAAAATCAATGAAAAAACTCGTATTTGCATTTTATTGCTTTTATTCTGTTTTGCAAAACACTTATATAGAAAAAAAAATGTGTAATATAAGTAGTCAGTAAAATAAACGAAATGATCACTAATAAAATATGTAGATTATGAGTACCGAAATAATTAACAATTAATTGTAAATGGTCGGTTGATCAAATATAAGTAACAGTGGAAAATATTCAATTTACATCAGTAAAACAACACATATTTGGTTAGTATAAAACACAACATTTATCAGAAGAAAACAAAAGCGTTACAAGGAGAAAATAAATTCAAATAAATCAAAGAACCACAAAATAAATAGAAAGAAAGAAATCGAGAAACTTCTTTCTCTTTGTTTTATATAATGAAGAATAAGAAGAACTAAAACAATGATTCTTCTTATTCACAAATTATGTAGATTAAAACAAGTAGGGCAGAAAAATGAGAACATATGTAGAACAATTAAAAAGAAAAGAAAAGAAGAAGAAAAGTTATTTACTCTGTAAATATTTCAATTTTTATACTGATACTTTAATATAATCAACTGTAGATAATTTGTATTTACTGATTTTGTGAATCTATTTTTAAACCTAATTAGATAATAACCGACCATTTAAGTAATTCACTGATAAATCATTAAATTGACTAATTTAATAATGATTTTATTTAGTGACCATTTATATTCATTTTACTGACCATAAATCATATAATATTAATTAACTTGAATAAATAATTGTTAGTAGATTGGCCATCTTGATAAAAGAAACATAACACATGAAACTAACTACTGATTAAATGAGATCAGTGTAACCCAAAACTTCCATTCTAGTAAAGTGCCGCCATTGGAACACCTTAGTAGGCATAAGGAGAATAGTAATACGGGTAATAATAAGAAGGATAATAGTAAGAAGGATAAAAGAAATACATATTGTATAAGATAAGCAAAGACGTTGAATATTGTAAACTTCGGCTGAATCTGTTCGTCTATATAAACACGGACGTCTATATATATATATATCGATTACGAGAAGATGAAATCAGGTTTTTTCCGCGCATGATTTATCACAGCTAATAATAATCACAAGATAAAATAGACATGATATTATGACATAATGCAATTATTTGTGTACATAAAGCTTGCAAATTAATAATATCGTTGGTAAATATTTGTCCGAATGTCGAAAGATACTTGATTCACTGGAAAATTACAGTGACTATCGAACCTTCTTCTATTATTGACGCAATGAAAGAAGACACCTGAATTAGTCATTGTATTATTTCTTCAATCGAATATCATTTATTGACTATCGATGTCACGTAAATCATGATTGGGATGAAACCCACAATTGCATGGTTGATTAGCTGTTCGTATCCAAGCAATTCTACCTATTGATTGTTTTTGTTTTTGTTAATTCTTTCTTCATGATGAGTCGTGCTCGTTCATTACTTTTCTACAGTGATTGGATTGCGTATTTTCCTCTATCTAGCATATGTATTCGTAGACAATCGCTTAAAATTACTATTAAAACACTGAATATTTTGTGAATACATGGATAATAGAATCTACAAGGAATGAACAAGAATATTATCATTTATTTGCTTTAAGTTGATTCGATAAAACATAAAAATTAATCTGATTGTTAAATTCAGAATCACCTCAAAACGTAATTGACTGAGAAAAATGACACAATAAATCTGACTGATCGTCTTTCTCAAAAACGAAAGAAAAATGACATCCATATTGCATAGTTAAGTAATGTAGTGGCATCATATAGAATCATGAAATCACGAAATCAATTCTTTCCCCTCTCTTGGTTCATTATCGCTTTTCAAATCAATTTCTACTTTCGTTTTTCACCTTTCCCTTTTATTATCGATTCGTCAATTGATTTTTGACACTTTCATTCAGACTGAAGCAAGTGAAAACAGAAGGTTTTTCCAGAGTTTTTATCAATGAAACAAATCGAATTTTAAAATCAATCTGTTTCATTCAATTGAAATAAATATTTTATTTTAATTTGAAATAATAGATGAGAAACTTGCCAAATGTTCATTGAGTTGATCTTTTTTCTTTTTCAAATTTAATTGCTTTTCAATTCGAGAAAAGTTTTTTTTTTTTTTTAATAATTTTTTATTTCAATTTATGCTGTTCAGAAGTATTATTTCGAAAATGTTTAATGTCGAAATGAAATTTATTCAAACGAAAACGATTGAATTAATGGAAAATAGTTTTTCTTGAATTAGACATCCATGTGAAAAAGTAAAATATAGACAAATTTAGATTAACTACAAAGAAGATCTGTTTAATTCAAAAATTTATTTGCAAAATCAATCGAGAAAAATCGGTTGTTTCCTATTTTTATTATTTAAATATTGAAATCTTTGCAAAATAAACCATGACACAAATCATTGGCCATCAAAATAGAAGGAAATTCTACCAATATCTCTTTCGTTTGAATGTTTTTTTTTTAAATTGTTCGATATTGTCAATTGAATTTCATTAAAATGAAATATTTCTCAATGATTATTATGTCTTATTTATTTTCTTGTTCAAATCAGAAACTAAATCCTATATAATTTTATCATCCTTATATTTATTTAAATAACTGATCTTTTTATGAAATTTTTCCTTTTTCTTTTCCTTACACATTTTATATTAACTGAAAAACATCTCAATATCATCAATTTTATTGAAGAGAATTCGATAACTATTCAAATACATTGAACGTACAAGAACAAACTAACGAAGTAAAATTAAAATTTGTCATTATTTGAATTTTTTCAATTATTAATCATTGTTCCATCGCTTTTTTACAGTATCAGAGAATTGAATTGAATTTTAACTTATAGTTTGATATATCTTCATCGATCTGATGTTCTCAGAATGGATCAGACGATCTTGTTTGAATGAAGACAATGCAAACAAAACATTCTAATAGATTTTATTGACTTTTTTTATTTTAGAAAGTCTGATCATTTACTTACAAATTTTTAGTTTTTATTTTCATTGGATCTAAGACTAGCTTAAAAATCGATATATCAACAAAAATCATTTTTTCTTTCGAAATATTTCCAGCTTCTCTAATTGTTTAGTTTTTAAACAATTTCCCAGTCTTTTGTACTGACTCATCATCAAAAACTGAGTAGAAATCTATGAGGATGTGTATGCGGGTCCTGTAATGACAAACTAGAGGAGTAACTTACTGTCACCCTCAATAATGATTTTTATTGAGCTACTTCACATAGAACAACGCACTCTTATATAGTAGAGAGCAAGATATCAATATCAGCACAGATTCAACTGTGTATGTGTATGTCAACAAAGAGATTATTCATATCCACACACATAACAAAACCTTTTATCTCACACAGACTATTTAGTTCACATCTATTTATAGAAGAACTATTCTTTCTCTAGATCACATACGCACGTATAGAAATTCTTCAATACAGAAAAAAAAAATTACACACAAACGTATGTTGAACAAATAAGTGCACAAAACGAGGAGAAAAGAAACTCAATAAAAAGAGAACGACTATCGATCGAAGATTGAAAAATACAGAATAAATATATTACGAATAATGGAACTGTGTTTCAGATATACAGTAATAGAATGATATTATTTATTCGCTTCTAGATAATTTTATGATGTACTATCAGGTCATTGTCTTGCATTAAAACTTTTGAGTATTTGACATACATCATCATGCTGCTGAAATTTAGCTAAATCATATGCAGTTAAATTTTGTCCTTCGAAATGAAATTGTTGATCAATATTTGCACCACGTTCACATAAGATTCGAACTATATCAGCATAACCCATAGCTGCTGCAATGTGCAAACATGATTGACCAGTCTAAATAAATATCAATATTATATATAGAAGACATAATTCACACAATGTTGGTTCCTAATAACTTCTATTACTAATTAATAGTGTTCATTGCCTATAAACATAGATGGAGTCGATCTATAGATTTTGAATAATCGGCATTCCATCAACATTCAAATAATCTTAACTTTGAATTTAATCGTTTTACTATTTTCGAATATCAAACTTTTTTTATCCGAAAAATAAAACAACTGATGCATTTAGATTACTTTTCTGGAATATTATTGTGGATCAATTTTATATAATCTATCAATATAGTTTTACAGTAGAAAATACGAGTAGAGTTCTTCAACTTGATCCGATCTGCGTCTAGAGTCGGATCGATAGCGAGTTGAAACTTTACAAATGTCGGATTTTTTCGGATTCATTCTTCTTGACGCTATCTACTGCTTTTTTTTTACATAATTTTGTATAATTGATCTAAAACTCAACGTTTCATTAAACTATCGATTCATATTATCTATGTAAATCATAGCAGTGATTCTAACCGTTCTGAAACAACTTGCAATTTATAGTTCTTCTCTATAATATGAAAAAAGCTATTGCAACTTAAGTAGATGATTGTATCAAAATACTTGAAAATAACTGCAAAATTTCAAGGAATATTGCTTCGGATGATACTAAGAAACCATAATAACATTTGATGTTTCATTCCAGCACGCATCTAATAAAATAAAATTAGCGTTGACAATTATCTTATTTCGTATTTCATAGCAGAACATCTCTACCGAAAAGAGATAATAATCAACAATCATGCCCGTGAATTTAAATCATGTGTTAATGGTTACTATTTATAGAGACTGTTATAAAAGAGCGCAACAGTATTGTCATACTTTCTTAGTAAAACTAAAGCTACAAAACCTAAAACATGGTAATTCTAAAGTATAATGTTGATATAACAATCTCTCTTATATTCAAAAGATTTCCTAATATCATACACAAGAACAATAAGTTCTGAAATCGTTCTAAAACTAATAAAATCTGTTGATATCATTTTGATATGCATTTCGTGTCTTTATTAAAATTGTTAACTTCTACCGAATAGTCGTATTCTAATGAAAAATCTAATTTAACATAAATAAACGAATCAAAGTTTTTGAATCGGATGCAGATTCGAAAGTTGAATCCGCACAGAAATTTAAATACGGGTTTTCAAAATTTTACCAATAAGACTTTTGCTAAGATCACCAGTTTGGCCACCAGAAAATACTCTTTATATACAGCCAATATTTCTTTGCATTTTGAATATTATTTATAGCTATGATGTTAAGCATTGCGTCGAAAACAAAATTAAAACTCAAATGTTCATTGAATAATTTCTTTTTTCTTTTTGCTTAACTATTAGTCCTAATTATTAGATGATCATGTACTTACGTTTTCTATTCCATTGACATCAGCTCCTTGCTCAATTAAATATTCAACAATATCTTGAAAGCCTTTTGCACATGCACAAAATAAAGGTGTTTGATTTTCAATTTGAAGATCATGTGCAATTTGTACTTTTAGTGATTGATTTACATCAGCACCACAACGTATTAATAAAACAACAACTTCTAAATGATCTTCTTCAATTGCCGTATACAATGGAGTTGCACCAGTCTAAATAAAAATCAATTCATTCTATTAATCATAATTTAATAAATAAATTAATATACCATTGTAACAGCATTTACATCGGCACCATTTTGAATAAGATATTCACAAATTTCTACATGACCTTTTTTAGCTGCAACAAATAGAGGCGTCTGAAAGAAAAGAAATATATGATTTAGAATGAACCTACACAAGTCTAAAGTTATACTAAATATGCGCATTCTACAACATTTTCAAACTACATATAAAGCATATGTTAAATATTAGAAATAATGATGGTAGAACTATAATACTATATAGATAGCTCGAAAAAATTTTCTCTTTATATCTGTTGATAGTTCAAATAGTATAGTCTTTATCTTTTTTTTCATAATTAAGTGATGGCTCAGATCAGTTCGCATTTGTAATTCGTCAATTATAATGTAATGAACTTATTCAATATTTTCGGATGTTATTTCGATCATCATATTTCAACTTTCCTTGTAGAGGTAAAGTCTAGTCATCGAAAATAGAACATAAATCATCATGAATAACTGTTGATTGAATACGATGTTCAAAGCACGCTTTATTAGAGAAGCGAAAAGTTTCTTTATCGATTTAAAATGAAGTTCAACAGTTTTCATCGAAATTCCATTATGATTATTATACCAAAAAAAAATATAGAGTATTATTTGTACTTTGAATTCATATATGCAGCGAAATTCTGTTCAAACTTTCTATATGGTATAATAGCACTAACTATTTATGCCAGAAAGAAAATATTTAGTTGATTTTGATATACAAACAAAAATTCTCACAAAGATTTTACCTGTCCAACAAGAAAATTTTCTTCAGCTAATTCTCCTTGTGGTGTAATATTAACATTAGCACCAGCTTCAATAAGTGTTTGAACAAGTTCTCGATTACCCGATTCAGAACAAAGAAGTAATGGTGATACACCATACCGATTTTGTATATTAACTTGTGCTCCTTTTTCAATTAAAAATTTTACAATATTAATACGATCTTTTAATGTAGCCATAAATAATGCTGTTTGACCAGTTATATTTAAATTATCAGCATCAGAACCACTTGGTGCAAAATCTAGATCAGCACCAGCTTCAATACATGCTTCAATTATATCTAAATCACATATTTCAGATGCAAGTAAAAATGGTGTTGAACAATATTTTGTTATTGCATTTGGATCAGCACCATATTTAAGAAGTAATTTAACAACATCAAATTTTCGTGATTTCATTGCTACATAAAGTGATGTCCAACCAGTTATATTTAATTTATCAGTTTGATTACCAAATGGAGCAACATGTGTTTCAGCACCAGCATTTAATAATAATTCAACAACTTTTAACATTCCTCTTTGTGATGGAATCCATAAGGCACTAATACCATAATGATTTTGAACACTTGGATTAGCTCCACGATCTAATAAATATTTAACTATATCTGTTCGACCTTCTTTTGCTGCACAAAATAATGGCGTTTGACCATATATATTCATTATTAATGCTAATGGACCTAGAAATAAATTTATCATTTTATTAATATTATAAAAAAAACAAATAACAATTGCTAAAATTTCCTAGAGAATTATTCATACCACTTGGTGCTAAATCTATATCAGCTCCAGCTTGTATAAGTAATTTAACACATTCAAAATAACCTTGTTCAGCTGCAAGCATCAATGCTGATATGCCGAAGTGATTTTGATGATTTGGATTAGCATGATATTCTAATAAACATTTAACACATTCTGAATTATTATATTTAGTTGCACCAATTAATGGTGTTGAACCAGCTATTTTATACTCTTCAGCTCGTTTACCAGACGGTATTGGATCAACAATAGCACAACGTTGTAATAGAATATCAAGTATATCTGGCCAACCAACTTCGGCAACCATTAATAATGGTGTAATACCCGATAACGATGCTTTATTCACGTCGACTTCAGGACATTCTATACAAAAATAAATAATAATACAATATAATAATAGATTAAATAGCTAGAGACAAACTCACTAGCTAATATTTCTGTGATGGATTTATGTTTTTTTCCAGCTGCTACACTTAATACTGTTAAATTATCCACTGATTGATAACCTAAAAGAAGAAATATTTTCATTGTCAAATAAAACATTATCTATTTATATAGATCAATAAATATGCATGTGTTATTCTGAAAGCATCGCGAGATTTAAATAAAAATATGTTCTATTGATCTATACAAAAGATTTATCTTCATTATTATCTAATGATGATATATAGTATATATTAGCGACGGAGTCGGAATACTAGCACTCCTCTTATTTTGATTGGGTTGTAGCAGATGATGCCATCGCTATGTGTACTGTATTATCCAGGATATATATGACCAGTAAAAATAGCTAGCGGTGAAGCAAGATTGTTCTAGGAAAGGTAGTGGAGAATGCAGCTGCTTTATTGACACCGTGTATTCTTGGTAATACGACGTATTTAGCGAAGGCATCACTGTCCAACCAAAACAAGAGAGACACTAGTGCTCCAGCTCCACCGCTTATTGTAAGTAACCAATTTTCGATTAAAATGAATCATAATTTTCTTCTTAAATTTAAACATAGATAATCATTACGAAATGATATTCTATCCTCCATAACTTTTATTGTCTATTATAAGTTTTATCGATAATATAGATGAAGAAGTAGTCAAAATCGTATAAATAGATGGAATTAAATGTTCATCAGACAAAAAAGATAAAATTGATAAAATAAAATAATCAAAAGTTTAAGTATACAAATTTTTGATGAGAATTATTTAAATTATAAAAGGCAATTTATTTTAATTGAAAAGAAAAAATGAAAACTTTTGATAATTTTCTTTACATACCCATATTGAGCAATTCTTTCTTCGTTGTTGAGTCTTTATGACGATCCAATTCATCAAGTAGATCTTTAAGTCGTTTAATATCACCCGTTTGTGCGATCTCGAATAGTTCCTCATGATATCGTTCAATATCACCATCGGCTGTATTTGCTTTCGCACCTGTAGTAGAACTCGTCAACTCTGATATAAATCAAATGATCAAGGTAAAAGATAAAATTCAATTTTATGATTTTACGTCTGGGGTCGAATTCGGCCTCTACTTTCTGTAGGTAAAAATTTGTTTTTTTGAAAATTATCCTATGTTATCTGTATTTTTTTTCCACAAGTGACACCATCATTCTCGTAATTTTGGAAGAAAATTCAAGTGACATAGAATAATCTTTCAAAAGATAGAAAAGAATATATAATTGACACACATTATAGAATTGATAGGAATTATTAATCGAATCCAACCTGAGCTTTACACACGGATATATAGTTGGCAAAATATTTACATTTATGTCTTGAATAAAGGCTACTTAGGTCTAATCAAAAGCTCTAAGAACATTAAAGAGTAATATAAAGATAATGAGATATTTTTAATTTAATTTTATCAAATGTTGAGAATAGTTGCCATGATTATTTATATCAAGTTCAATCCTTTCTAACAATCTACTAAAAGTTTTTTTTGACCTCTTTGTCTAAAAAAGTTTTAGCCACCTTGAAAACCACATGAGCTAATTATATTTCATTTAGTTAATCGCTTAAACTACATTCGATAGAATTAGTTAGCTAAAAATTATATAGTATAAGACCTGGCGAATATGTTGGGTATGACATTATATTGATGTCTTCTTCTATCATAGAATTAATAACATTGGATGAGTATGAAGTCAACGATGATCGTCAAACAATTTCGTACATTTTGAATTTAATGTCCATGTTTGTTTCTATATTTCATTAACAAGAGGCTTCGGGCAATTTTCAATATAATATTTGTGATCTACAGTCTTGCCTTTATCTACATCCAAGATTTTTTGATTTAAAGAATATACTAAACAAAGTTTTGGTTAAAATCTGTCTACATGAGCCACAGTCTTTATCAATTCATCTTCAATAAGCCAGTTAGCATTAGATGACTTATGACTAACCTATCTAAAATAAATCGATATCACATCGCTAGTAGTGCTAGAATACAACTCACATGTTCGAACATAATTCGATTAAATTTTTAAAACAAATGAAATATATTTAGCTCATGTGGTTTTTTTTTATCAAAATTCTTAGAAAAGTGAGACCTTCAATTGAGGAAAATTTCAGCTCAGTCAATGAAGGAAATCGTAAATGTGGGAGATTTCCGATGGAACTACCCTCTTGTAGCTTATATGAGTTAGTCAGGCATGCGTCCATAGCCGTTTCCCTTCCCTCTATATTTTTGCCAATATTTTTTTGTTAGAAGATGCATCTACACTTTAAAAACAACAAATCAAAAACTTAAATCAGCGTCTTATCGAGTAAGCCTTCATTCTTCAATGAAGATTTGCAATTTTCCGACAAACAAGTGTATAAATTCCATCTATGACTTGTTCTACTAAAAATCTATCGGTACAAAAATTACCTGTTGCGTCTCGAGTTTGGTGCATCCGATATTGAGCATACAGAACGTATAAGATAAAGATAAATAGTATGACTTCGATGATCATAGCTTCAATAGTTCTGTCGTTCTAAACACGTAGCAACAACAGATAAAAATCTATATCATTTGGGTTTTTCCATACATGAAATAATATTTCGTTGAGCAACGCACCGATTTGATTTTTTTTGTAGTTTGAGCTGATTAGAATTGATCTATTAATAAAAATCTATTTTCTAAAGATAAAATAACAAATATTGATCATCAGATCCTTATTCACTTAAACCCGATGTTGAAGGAATGTGACTTATCATCAACATTGAAACTGAAGGTTTCCTTAGAAAGTTATTATTGGCTATTCTGCATATTCTTGAAATCGTTAGTAGCTTAGTTATTTAAAAAGATCAGAACACAACATATTGAAAACAATGCATGATGATCATCAGTTTCACAGAACGTGTCATCCAATTGAAACGGACTCTTGACATCGAATAAGTGTACAAAATAACAATTACGTGTGAAGAGTACAATGATAAGTCATGGCATAAAAAAATTATAACGCACACCAACATTGATAAGAAGCTGAGGCCCAGACAGCAATTCAGTGACCTGAAATAGGTCCACATGGATATTTTCCACTTATAATGTGACCACTCATACTCTGCTCGTGAAAAGTCATCCGTCGAAAAATGCATGATAAAAGTGTATCTCGATAACTCAATGGCCTGAAGGGTGGTTTCTACTTTCGCCGATTCCAACATCGCCAAAAGGAAGGTAGGAGTGTTAGTGTTTTCTTCTTCACACTGATATCCACAACTGTATCCTACCAACTCAGATGATAACCAATCGATTTGCTATTAAACTAATTAATTGTAATAAAGTATTTTGTATACAACGGATCATATTTGATCCAGACTCGTTTTCAGTTATGAATTCATTCGACGACATTGGAGTCGGCAAAAATGGACTAATTCGTTTATCACAAGTGTCCTTCAGGAAAGGAAGAGTCCCGTCGTTAGTACTATGAGATGCTGCCATAATTGACACACACAAATATGATAGCATAATGAAAACGGTTACCTTCAGCAACAATTTTTTGACGATGTGGGTGTCTGAACAGAAAGTATATTTAAAATATGTCGGTGGTTGAGTAATTATCAAACATTTTCTCTTTTCTTTTTCTTCTTCACACGCAACTTTGAATTGCATTCAATGTCGGCGGTCGTACTTTATGTAAATAAAACGCTATTGGCTTTGAAACCCATCACCATAAGCACAGTAGACTCTGTGTGGCAGACATCTGCAAACAACAAGACGCAACTCAGCAACCTTCTTCACGTGAGACATATATGAAATCCGAGCCCGATTCGACGATTCAGTATCAATCGACCGGATCCAGAGTTGTCTAATTTCGACTTAGGGCAATTGAAAATAGATGAGCAACTCCGACTTTGAAGCTCCCAGGAACTCATAAAATCAAAATTAGTGCATTTACATGATACTTTTTAGAGCATATTCATTTCAATCATCAAATTCATTTTGTGAGACGCACTTTTGTTTTTGTTTAATTCATGGATTGGATTTTTTATAATATTATTGGAATTATTGTTTGAACAAAGTTTCTGTTTCATCATCTCAGATAGATAGAGATCTCGAATAAGTAGGAATTTCATGAACGAAGCGCATAAACTATTTATCTTCTTATCAATGTTGGTCTTGAAAAAATTTTCGACAAGAAAAAATTGCACGGGATATAATTTTTTATGCGATGTCTTATCACTGTTTTCTTCCTAAGTAATTGTTATTTATACACTTATTTGACGCCAAGAGCTTGTTTCAATCAAACGACATATTCTATCACACCGATGATCAGAGCACATTGTTTTCAATACCATGCGTTCTGATCTTTTCAAGTAGCTAAACTACCAACAAGATTGGTTTTTGTCGTCAGCTTGTTAACAAATTAAACTCACATCCACACTCGCACTTCATATTACACAGCAAGGTCATATGTGAATAGAACGAAACCAATAGTTCTTTTTCCGTGCATAGAAGCACAAATGGTATGATTAAAGTATTAGTTATTTCTGTTATTTTGGTCATAATGACATTATATGAGGGTTGTAGATCGAGGACACATCGTTTTTACACAGTTAACCTTGGATACAGAGTTGCGACTAAAAGAATTTTCATCTAATTGTTTTTTTTATTTGTGTAATGATCAACAGCCTTTTTTTTCTTTTCAGACCCTTACAATGCAAACTCTCTTCTTTTTTCTCTTTCATCAGGTTTCTCTCTCTTAAAAAATTATATGAAAGTACAGCGACAGAAAGAAAAGCATAATTTCATACCTATTGTTGAACACTGTTAAAGATGATTCACACTTTCTTTATTTTTTCGGTTCAGAATGCATACACACGCATAAAAATACATATATATGAGTGCGGAATAGACGGCTTTATATAGATACAGATGATAAGAAAAACAAAGAGAAAGAGCAAGATATATGAAAAAAGTAATGCATAATCTTGCGTGCTAGCATGCCTCATAACGATCTCTCCTGTTAGCCAAAAAAAAATAATGTTTCATCTATTGTTTTTTTTTGGTTTTAAATAAATATGTGTGGAAAGAAGCAAAAAAAAGAAATGAAAGAGTTATAAAATAACAAAGAGAAAGAAAGAAAGGAAAAAAAGTAACGAATATAATTATATAACAACAAAGGGAAGAAAAAATCATCTTGTCGTACAAAATATTGTTTTCAAATTCATACAAATACTTGATTTATTGAAGATATATATATATATCAGAGAAGACAAGTTAAAAGATTATAATAAAGAAGTAGATAGAGCTATATGCCACGACAAAATCAAAGTTACATAATTATAAACAATGAAAAGTGTTTGTCCATTAAAAGAAAACTGAAAAGGTAAAGTTATTGGATAAATATGTAATAAAAAAATATCAGCAGCCCTTATTTCACCATATAGAACATCTATTTAAACGAAATCGAAAACTATTGGCTAGAATTTTATAATCGAATATATACAGGTAATAACACTTGAAGTATCATAAAACGTGTTCGAAAAATAATAAGAATTAAGTCATTCGAAGATAACATATAAATAATAAAATTATTTTGAAAACCTAAGCAGATCTTAAAAAGCAAACGATGGGCGCAATGAGTGGTCGAAAGTTTGAAATAGATGATTTTGCTCGTTTGATTCGATTTCCGAGTTCTTGGACATATTTCAATCACTTGAAAGCCATTGAAATTTCGACCATTCAAAGAGAGTAAATCTATCGAAAAACTAGCTTTGACTGTTCGGTATAACTTTAAATACTGGAAACTTCTTCAAAGTCTGAATTATGCAATATTCTTTATTGCTATTCATTGATATTATCGAAATTATTTATGCTCGATATACTTTTCTAATTTTTTAGAAGAATATTTATCATTTATGGATTGAAACCATGATAAAAATCAGTTCGGATTCATGTTCAAGACATAATCATATAAAATTTTTAGTTTTTGAACTCTTCAAAAAATATTTCGAAGCATTATTTTGTCCTTTTATCACGCAGATGATCAGTGAGTCTTGGCACATTTTATTTATTAAACAAGTTCTTGCACTGAAATTTTAGATTTTAAAAAGTTTTTTAATTTAAAAAATTTTTTCCCATATTTTCTTAACTAAAGAGACAAGATTTAAAAAAGAACAAAATAGTTATTGGAATGTTGTTTTAGATAAATGGAAAGGATACTTTTCATGAAAGTAGAATAGTTCATATTTGGTTGAGATGCATGACGAAAGTTTATTAATCATCAGTACCCATTTTCGAATTTTCTCTTCTCTACTTATTCGATAGGTATTAACAGCTCCGAAATGAAACATCTAGCGGACAATCTTTAAAAATTTTTTCAACGTTCGATACTCTCGAAACCCCTCGAGAAGGGCCCTAGGTCGAATGTTCAGAGTGTCACGTTCCGATAGGTCGAGAGCTCGGTGAAAGGTAGAATATTTTCATTTCTACAGATTCATAGGAGATGCAAATCGGCAGCTCGACATACCAATCGGCTGACAGCTTAGGAATGTGACGAATGACACTAAGAACATAATAATTACCAGTTTGGCCATGTACAACTCTGGAGTGGACGTGAGTGTTAATCGCTTATAATCTGCATTAACACCCACCCCCAACGCCCACAGTCACAGCTAAATTCATCCTTGATGCTAAATACAAGCAGTGATATGGATGAACTAGATACGAGAAGATAACTTATGTAACAAGCCCTAAGAGTGTTTTTGGAAGAATCGACGGATAGTTGAAAAACGTTACTTTCGAAAACAAAATTTTCACTGACCTCTGAAACTTTTACGGTTGCTGTTCTGCCTCTATCCCTGAGAAAATTTCTTCATACTCCACCGAAACAAACTCCAATTCGCTGAGGAGTGAAATGAACTTCTAGGAGGCAATATCTCCTCGGCTCACCTCTCTAGATAAACTACTGACCTAAAAATTGTTATACATATGATGACATCATACAAGAAATACTTTAAATATATGTTTTATGACAGTTACAGGCATCCTCAGAGGAGAAAAAATCCATGGTTCGTACATTTCTGATGGCGATATTTAACTGTTTTGATCTAGATATGGACAACATGCAGACATTTTGTATTTGTTATAGCTTCAACTACACGAAATCTCTATTTCGAGAAGTTGAAAGAAGGGACAAGTTTTAGTTAGATATTATTACTATCTATTGAAGTGAAAATCAAGTCATTATATTCAGGAGTAACTTTTGAAACAAAGAACACATGCGAGTCTCAATGAAGAAGTATGTGGATTGAGAAGACAAATGGATCATGTTTTTAGGATCTGTTAGTAGCTCGTATTCATGTCCATTTATAGAAAAATAAATGAATTTTAGCATTGTTTAATATCATGTTGTTGAATTCTATCTAAACTTTTATATCAAATCGATTGGATGATAATATGAGACTATCATAGGTTATAATCTTTCGATGAAGATGAAAAAACTCTCAAATAAATGATTAGCGTACCACAATTCCATATAGAAATTTACGACTGTACTAAGCAATGAAAGGCATATGAAATTTCGGTCGGTAACGAACACTGCAAATAACATCATATGCAAAGCAAAAGTATTGTTTGCTTAAATACAGTGAAAGACTCCTTTGATGAAAGAAAATGATAGGGATAACACTATTTGTTTTCATTTGTGACAAGATTATAGAAGAATGAACGCACGAAGGAATGTTGTTTTGCTTTCGTGTTTCCTATTCTTATGTCTACTAAACCGATTAGATTCGATCGATCCTTGCATTTACGACTTGAATAAAAAAGGAATAATCGATTTAACTAGTGTTGGTCATGTAGATGGGACACCTACGTGAAAAAACATATTACTTAAAAAGAGCGATAGCCATGGTAAATTTGGTCATCTTCAACTTTCATAAACAGGAAATCTCATTCTTTCTTGTGTACTCATACAATCCATATCATCCATTCATCCAAAGCTCATATACAAATGTTGCTGCCTGTTAAAGTAAGAAACATTAGCACTTCATTTTCAAATATATCTTCTTGAAATTTCACTTAACATATGCCACAGACGAAAAACTAGCCTTATTTATTGAGTATCAAAATATTGTGCAATGGAAAATTACATCAGGTCAAAATTTACCTACTCTAGTCTATACAATGATAGACAGAATATTGTCTGTTGATTTACAGTGTTTGAGCTCAGGAGGGCCTGACAAGTTAGAAATGCATGGATATGATTTTACGACACACCTGTATACAATGACACTATCACCCAAATGTACATGTTGAGATGGCTGTAAAGGTCAGAAACAGATTCTGTACTATGCATGATCTTGTATAAAATATTCGATCTATCATAACAGATGGTCCTGATCCTCCTCGACAACCGAAAAATATATTGAGTGGTGAAGCAATATTTATCATTGTACTCGTGATTCTTTCTGCTATCTATTTAACTGGCATGGAGACTGACTACACCATTGTTCTATAGACACAACTTTATTCATGTTTCAGTACGCACTTTTTACATCCTTGTTTCCTTTCTAACAAGTGCTCTTAATGATATTTTTTATAATCATAGTTTTTTATTTACGTCAATATAAGATACTATTTGTATGTTTGACGCAATACGAAATACAGATTCTTGAGTTTGGGAGAAACAATTTATTAATATTTTAATCATTGATGATATAAGTATTCACGTGAACTATTGGAGGAAGTCACTGTCATTTATAGAGAGAATAGAGAAAAATGGCTATAGATTACATTTTGTAATTTTTGATCATATATTCATAAACATTGGGATAAATGAATTGATCAATGTCGGTTGTGCGGGATGTTGGATTTTGAAAATATTGTCGAATTTGTGTCGAACTTATATCCACAATTTTATCACGTTCCTTTTCTAATTTAACATAGATAACGTCAGTCGATCTAATTGACTGATGAATGTGTTGTTCATTATAACCACTTCGAAAGACAACCGCACAGGCCATGTTTTTCTGTTTCGCCATCCTCTCAAGATAAGAACATTTATTAAAATGATCCAAACCGCAGACATAAACCACACGCAATGGATGCTTCAGGAATTTATCTTGATGGACAAGAGTATCATTAAGAAAATCACAAAGATTTTCAGTTACAGGACCAAAATCAACAAATTCACTGGGCCACTCACATTCACCGCGCGAAACAGTGATCCAAGATGACAGTTTATCATGCTCAATAGCGCCTTCACAGAGTTGACATCGATCTTCGGCTGGAATCCATGCTGAATCGCCCAGTTTGGAACGTACATACGAATCACTATGATAAATATTAATATGTTTATTAAAAGACGAAAACATTGTAAATGACATACTGTGTTGGTGAGAGATATCCTGCGAGAACATTCCATGATGGCTGATGTTCGTTCTCAAGATATTGTTTGACACGTAAAAGGTTTTGAAGATGTGAAGGGTGAATTGGATTGAAAGAGCCAGTTGTAATCAAAACGCAACTACGTATAAATTTATATTGACAACAAATGTTTAATTCAGTCTCTCTTTCTCTGTATGAGAGTCAATGTGGATGCGTTTGTAACTTACACTTACGTCTAGATATTCGCAGACCCTGTAGAAAAAAATTCAGCGCAACGCATAGTAGTTTAAAATTGGAAACGCGATAGAGCCTTTTCAATAGCAGACAAAAGTAGTGTAATCAACTTACTCAATGTGTGCCATTATACTTATTACAGTCGTATTGCACAAAAATTTCAAACAGAAACGATGTAAAATATTAACAGAAAGAGTTCATCCACTGAAATGTTTTTCTTTTATCATTCTATGAGTGCTCGATGAAATAATCCCAAGTCAAATAATTTTTTATATTTTTTAACCAAATTTTATCAGCAAAAACCTAGACGACGACTTTCGAAAAGACGAGTTACCCCGATGTGAAAGTATTTTCTGAGTTGAGATATCATGAATCCAAGGCTCAAGTAATATTTATATCAGAAGTCAACTGGTGCGCAAGTTCGTTAGAGTCGAGCTGGTGCCTTTAACCAAGGCTTTTCCATTGTATCTGCGATGAAGAATTAATTAAAATACTTTAGCTTTAGACATAGAGTTGGTTAAACAGAGGTTTTTTAACGATTGTATTGATTTCCCAAGCTGGTTTCTGATGTGATTACGATTCAACACAAGCGTCTTCTTTCTATTGGTACTTACTTCTGATCGCTGTCGGCGAGTCTGCGCTTTGTACAATTTTTCATCAAAATTTCAATATTTGTGTTCATCCGATTGTGCATCGAAGTATCGTTTCGTTGATCATTTCGATTTTTGAAGTGCTTGCTAACGTTTGCACTTTGATTTGTTTGGAGAGTGGCAACATCTGATGTACGAGACTTCGTTTCATTTTCTAAAATCATCGAAGAACAAGTATTAAAAAGCGTTGATATAGAGTTTATAAGGCTATGTAACTATGTATATGACTACAATATCGTGCCGTGTAAAAAAAGAAGTTTGGAAAACAAATGATTTATAGTACTTGGAATTGGACTATTATGTCAGGTTTTCTATTTCGTATTTCACACATGATTGAATACAGCACGTTGAATAGTTTAGAATTATAATAGCTTTAGATTTGAAAAGCTAGATGCATAATTTTTCATAGAGTCAACTAACTTTGTTGAAGGAATCATTATTTTTACTTACTGTGCTCTTAAAGAATAGAAATTCGTTTTGCTGAAATTTTCACTTTTCTTCGCTCATTGTCTTAAAACTCTTTCACAACAATAAAGATTTAAATTATGAAGAACTGTTAAGTAAACAGTCGAGAGGTACATCGAAACATTAGCAGGAACTTGTTCGAGATGAAGTGTTCATATGACATCGTGAGACTAAATGAATCTGATACATGAGTAATAACAGGTTTTATTGAGTACTATAATAGCAAAGATATCTTAGACATTTTCCACCTGCAACATTTATCTAATAGACAAATACTATTAACATTCTGGAAACTAGCTGCTTAAAAAATAGTTAATGGTACAAAAAACAAAACTAAGTTTGGAAAATTCTATTGTTTTGATATACATAAATTGTGTCAATATGTTAAAATTCAAATAACTCGATCTGGACTCATCATTAGCAATTCGTATTTTGAATTTGATAGGTTTTCCATCGAGAATGATAATTGGGCTCGAATATAGTAAATCTCAGTAATAGGTATGATGAGCCCTTTCTATGTTAGCAACCTCCCTCTTCACTTTTCTTGATACTCACTTTTCAAAAGAAAACCGAGACCGATCGATGGTCACTGTTTTTGGAATCTTTCTTGAGTTCAGCTTTTTTACTCACCAGTGGTCTTTGCGGATGCAATCAAAGGAGTTCTTGTACGCTCGCTCGACACAATCGATGGACTTTTTAGACGTTCGATTTCTCTTTTGAGAAGTTGAATTTCATCGTTCAGATGCTTAACCTCTTGATTAGACTGCTGGACTTCTTGTTTTAGATGGCGATTATCCTGCTTAAGCTGCTGAGTTTCTTCTTTGTGACGTTCAATCTCTTGAAAGTTGTGCTGAATTTCTTGTTGCATACGACGATTATCCTGTTTGAGACGTTGAATCTCGTCTTCGTAATTAGCATAATTTTTATTTAGGGCTTGCTTTTCAGTTACAAGCTTGTTAATATCAGCCTCTTGTTGGTTGCGTAGCGTATTCAGCTGCTGGTTTTCGTTCTTGAATTGTTCTAGTCTTAATTGCAACTGTTCGTAACTAGAATTTTCCGCTTCAGGACCTCAACAATTAGAAAACATAGCTTAAATATCGTGGAATGATTAGGAATTTATTTGCTTGAATTCAGAAAAAAAGTCATGAATAGTTTTTATTCGTGAATGTTGCAAGTCATATAGAGTAATGAACATCTAGAGAAAACCACATTAAAGGAACGGAATAGCTCTTATTGAGTGTAAATATTCGTAAATATTTCGTTCAAACCTATCCTAGTTTTCACTATTCTTCTCATCAAGAGCATCAAAATTGACTCAAGATTCAGTTTGGAAAAAAGAACAAATTGATGAGGAATCCTCATCATTTATTATTTTTTTTGTATAATTTAAATGGCAATTTATGTCTTCGTCAACAGCTAATGCACTTAGTTTCCATATCAAATTGATTCGATTTACTATTCCTTTATAAAGTCAATACATTTCAAATCAAAACATCTTCTGCTTTAATCGGATATCTCTTAGTTAGCCTATTACCATTAGTGTTTCTTGAGACCCGGTGGCGCATTGAGAAGGCAACACATTCAAAAATTTAGTAGCAAGAATGGAAATGAAGATATGAATTGTGATGATTGGGGATTATATTACATAATAACTAAGTCATCATTTATTTCTTTACTAGGCAGATGGATATGTCACAGCCCATACTCATTGTACGAGATCGTTTCAGAGCTGTAGCCTTTACAATTTAACAATAGTATTCAAATATATGTCTATGCACATGTACATTGTTCGGTAGGACTTTAGTAATACAAGAAATATCAGACTATAAGCATCTTATTCTCGTTCGTTCATCTTTTATTTATTATTAGCTGAACGGGTTTCTATCATGTGAATCATTAAAGCGTGAATTTAGTATCTGCTGTGTTCTTTGCATCTATTACTAATGCTTCTCTAGAATAGTTTTCATACATGATGCGTAACCACGTCGAACCACTGATTCAACTGACTATTTTCGCTAATGAATACAATTCAATGGGCTAACTTTAACTATTGAATCATTTTCAGGTAGAACAATATCCATCACATGATACTGAGCTAGGTGCTCGAAGAACAGCTATGGAATCGACTAACTTTGAATTTAACTGTCAATGGGAATGGATACCTCCATGTCAAGAATTCGCTTCCAAAATTCACACATGATAAGTAAGATGCTTCGAAAGAGGCTCTTTTCGATGTATGTAGAAAAAAAATGCTAAGATTTTTAGCAAGATTGATTCTGGTCTCACTATTCTGATTCAAATTGCAATTGATTCGATATCACTATTTTGTCTGTTGGATGTGTTCATAGTATGTAACTAATAGTTTAAGTGTCACTCAAAATACATAAGATATCGATTTTTTTTCTCGAAATGGCGAACAATCTTTTGTATAGATAGCATACACGACAGCAACTACCTTGTTTCTTCCAAAATTATAACTCGATTTTACTGTAGTCTGCCAATTGACAGGTTCATTTCTAGTTGATGTAAAGTAACATTTGTTGTTGACAGCAACTTATCTTTGTGTGACGAAGTGAAGAAAAGAGAAGACAATAGACTGTTGACTTCTAAAAGGAAGACTGACTGTAGTAGAATATTGCCTCTCTCAGTTTTTTCGAACACGTATCTCAAGTGAGAGTTGAAATTGTTTTCGCCATAGAATTTTGATGAAAGTTTATTTCTTGTTGAGATAGGCTAACCTCAACTAGATAGGTATCTAAGTCGAGCAAAGGGTTCTATTTCAATGAGCTTTCATTTGAATGTGCCGTGTCTGTAAGTCTAACTTTAGTTTTATCTTGCAATATTCACTCAACTGTGACACAGTAGATGAATTTCAATATTATAAACTTCAAAACGGATTGGGTTGTTAAACTTCTGGTATCAGACGTTCTACAACACATGCTCCAGTTGTTTAATGTTATTCTTACCTGCTAGAATACCATACGGTGGTTCCAGAAGCATATATGGTGGTGCTATTTCACGCAAATGAATAATATGCCCATTGTCTTCATCTCCTGAATGGCTAATGACTTTGAAATGTGTACACGGAAGAAGCAGTATTTCTTCTTTCTGTGCATAAGAGTGACGTTCTATGTTTTTTCCATTTAAGCATTCAATTAAGAATAAAGTGTATGGGCCTGGTGTGCTGAAATATTGCTTGGGTTCTAGAATTTTGACGGAAGTCGTACATGAACTGAATGCCCACCATGTAATGTTATCACCACGGTTATATAAGGAGCGTAAATCACCACGAGCTCCTCGCCAGACAATAATTTTGGTTGACGGTAATTTGAACAGGGCGGTTAATACCAGTTTTAAGTAAGGAAACCAAGGAATAAGTTTCTTCCGATCTTTATCACGAAGTGTTCGATTCAAAACTGAATAAAGATTCTGATAATATGGATCCCACTTCATTGTATACAAAAAAATGGCGGCTGATTCGTGTTGATGGAGGTTGTCGGCTGGATTTTTACATCTACTTATTGCTTTCCGAGCTTGTGATTCGACATTATCGACCAGATTATTCAATTTCACTACAGCTTCGTTTAAGTATACAAGAGGTTCTTTGGTATAATCAGGTAAAGGAGTAAGTATATGCAAATGTTCTTTATCAGCATCGAAAAGGCGAGTATTGACATGAGACATATCAACAGAGCTTGTAGCCATTCTTGTAGTGGAATTGTCTCGTTACTTTTGTTCAATAATTGAGTCCGATAAGTGACGGTTGACTGAGATTTATAATTTTGCGTATATCTTCAATAAGACAATGAATACTGAAATTTCACTCATTGTACACTCGAGAGTGTTTCACTCAGGTAAATCAAAATATTTCAGTCTATGTATAACGATGATCATCAACTAGTACACTCCTATTTCCGCACATTGGATACGGTATTTTGATAGCTGCAAAATTGGTTTACTTTTCACGTTGCACAAGATAAATTACTATGGTAGAATAGGCTAAGGCCAATTTCACGAAGGTTCGAAAGAAGGACTGATCAACTCGGTCACTACGACGTTCAAATATAGAAAAATGATGATATATAAAGTTCTGTACATCTATCACAGATTGGCCCAGAATACTCAAAAATGTTTTTAGTATTGCAGATTGTGACAGACATGTCTGCCACAGTCTGTAATACAGGCTAGTAGGGAGATAGAGTAGGAAGAAGTGAGCACACTTGCTTCACTATAGACTTTACCACTAATTAACAATCATTCTTCACAAAAGTATTATAACCTATTTATACCTGATCACTAAGAATCTAAAATTCAGAAATAATGAAAAGTAAAAGAGAGATACTTCTATTGTTCCTTTTCCGCACCTACCTTGAGAAGTTTTGAGTATGTTTTCTTTACTCTTTTCGAAAGAATTATCTATAGCAATTAGCAAAGAGTCATATACTAACTCATCCTGATCAAAGTTTTTTGTATTGGAAAACGAGTATCGTGGAACACCTGTGACTTATGCTGTTTACCATGAAAAAATAGGTGCTTTTTTGCAATGGCACAGCAATTTGGCCACAATTCGTCCCAGTTTACAAACAACAAGTAAGGAACAGCTCTAGAGCTGAATAGAATGTAATTTCGGGAAAGGTTACGTATTGATTTACCTATGCTATAAAATACAATATTGCATACACTAATACATCGAAAAATCCAAAAATGAGAGAAAATGGTAAGGATGGTCAATTTTGGTTATGAAAGAAATAATGTAGAGAATAATAAAGTGTGTGAGATTCAAGGATAGTCACAACTCAATAGCAATACATGTTGGAAAGAACTCGAAATAAAATAATTTAAAAATATACTGAGGTCATACCTTCGATGACTCTTGTATTGTCGATCAATGAGTATTTGGATTCTAAAACCACTAAAACTAGACAATATGTCTTTTTTAACGCAATATTCAATGGGCCGCGAACTGCTCTGA